TTTTTTTTTTTTTTTTTTTTTTTTTTAAAGATGACCGGCAAGGGGATCTTAACCCTTGACTTGGTGTTGTCAGCACCACGCTCAGCCAGTGGAGCGAACCGGCCATCCCTACATGGGATCCGAACCCGGGGCCTTGGTGTTATCAGCACCGCACTCTCCCGAGTGAGCCACGGGCCGGCCCAAGTCTGTAGATTTTCTGAAGACACTCATCAGTTTCACGTAGCTACTTTCTATTCTCAGGCTGCTAAAAAATCAGAAACAGCTTTAATTTTTATCAAATGCTTTTCTTTTATCTGTCTGTGAATTACCTTCAATAATTTTTACCATGTTACACATTAATGTGATATATCCTTGGTCATGACTTAAAATACATTATTGGATTTGTTTTGCCAGCTTTTAACTTAAAAGTTTTGATTATGTACGCCCACATATGAAATTAACTTATAAACAATTTTTCTCTTCCATGCTTTTCTTTGATTTGTAGTGGCCTCACAATGAGTTGGGAAGGTTCCTTCTTGTGGTATCTGAAAGGGTCTGTATAAGAGGGGAGTAAAGTTCTAAGCACTGTTTTAACTGCAGGCCATAAATTTTGATTAAAGTTTTTTTTGTTACTCACTGTTTTAAGTTTTTCATTTCCATTATGATTCCTTTTTTGACCCGAGTTTAGAAGTAAGGTTGCTAATTTCCAAATATAGTTTTGTACTTTTTTAAACTATCACTTTGCTACGGAATTCTAATGACTGAATTATGTCTGGAGTCAATAATCTGTATGATACTGAATCTTTGGTTTTGATGGGTTGTGCTCTGTAGCCTCTACAAAAGTGAATTTTTAAAATGACTGAAGATTTGTCAATTCTCATAATCCTGTCAATTTGTTAGACTTAAAACACAGTCTTCTGAACACACACACACACACACACACACACACACACACACACACACACACGGTAGGAAAAAGGAACTTAGTGGCTTAAACTCTCCATCTCTTCATTAAAATTTATTGAGTTTAATAGAGATGTTAGAAAGACGTCAATGTTTGCAGTTTCTCCACCACCACCATCCTCCCCTAGACCTGAAACTTCCAGTAGACTCTAGCCCCTGGTTACCTTTTGAAGACCGCGGTCTCTGTCTTGGCATCTACAGTGAGGCTGAGCGTTTCCTTCATGCTGCCGTTCATCACTGTCTCAGTTACCTTGTCTGGACTTTCTGCATCCTCCTCTCCATCAGAGCTGGCTTCCATGGCCACACTGCTTGGTGCTGAAAAGAGCACACAGCTGATCAGACATACCAAACCCAAACAGGAACTGTCGCTCCTCTTCTGTGTATACCCATTGACCCAAGTCACATCACTGCTTGAAGACGATGACAACAGTGTGAGGGTTTGCCTACTCTGCCTGAGCCAGTTCTTGATGGGCACAGGCTTCTTAAAAATACCCACTAGAGAGACATTTCATGGATTCCTCATTTGAAGACTAGTGAGTCCCCCACAGCTTTCCCAGCTTGGTGTCTACCTACATAGTACCCAGTTTCCTCCCAGCAGACACGACTGCTCTTAACTGTTCCAATCCACAGCACAGGCAGAGTGGGCAGTTACACATCTTAGCTTCCACCCATTTGTTTTCCCCACTTGGGTCCTATTCTTTTTTGAAGTTACTTTCTCATGGTATCCTGGTAGATCATTTCTTTGTTCTATCATAGGAAGCCATATGGTACACTGGTTATGAGCTTGTGCCCTGAAGTCAAACTTCCTGGATTCAAACCCCAGCCAACTCCCAAAAGCCCTACTCATCAGTATGAAACAATTCAGGGTCAATGCAAGGAACATATGGGAACACTTTGAGTAATAAGACAACTACATCCCACTGGAAGTTTATATAGACACTCGTGACTATTTCATCTGCACATAAAGGTGTGGAGAAAATAAACTACCCTATAGCCTAAAACAGGCACAGATATGCCCAGTGCTTCAGCAAAGCAAACTCTGAGGGACAACTGGGCACAGGCGTGGAATGTACACACCTAGTTCTGGTTTTATTCAGCCTGGGTACTGTAGGCTAAGGCATTCCTCCTTTCTGGGCCTCAGTTTCCTTATCTGCACATTGATGAGACTGATAACTTAAATTCCTTACTCCTTCTAGAATCAACATGCTGTGGTTCTGGAACAACAGGTACAATTTCTTTTCATCAGTTGCCCTGTGGACATCAGACCCACCATCTCATTTTCCCAGCTGCTTTTAGCCCCTGAGCCTGAGCACGGTGTCTGATGTTACAAACGTGCCATACAGACCCGTGAGCCATGCACCCAGCACTCTCTGCACTCACCTTCTGGCTGTGCCACCAGTGAAGCAACACTGGGAGTCAGGGGGTCCATAGGCTCAGTGCTGGTTTCCATTTCCACTGGAGAATTACTCCTCAAAGAATCTTTTGTACTTTCAGAAAAGGGAAAATTCAGATGTCAGCAGTGGGGAATAGCCCTCAGTTACACCCCATTATTCACAAAAAACCTTTGAAAATAAGTTGTTTCTGCTGGAAGACATCAGCATCTGTGTAAGAGTAATAGGATAAGAGACTCCGTGATACACGGATCTAAGTGTAGGTAGCTGCCTAAAGCAGTAGATGAGTGTGGTGGGAAATGTTCTGCTAAATCAGCAGAGCAGGAAGGCAGCGAATTCTTATAGGATTCCAGACAGTATCAAAATGCCCCACCTCTCATCTTCACCATAATCACCAGGTTCCCAGGGCTTGCACAGCAGTGATACACATCATATGATATCAACTGTATCTACTGGGTTGACTATTTTTACAAAAATCCTATTTACCTTGAGCAGTTTGGCCAAACTGCCTGGAGGAACTGGCCCTCTTAATGATGCTGCTGGTATTGTGAAAACATAGAGCCAATAAACAACAGAGATGAAGGGTGGGGTGGGGGGACATAACTATACTTCCTCTTCCACCTCCCACTCCCGTGCTGCAATACCCCTCAACAAACTCAGACACCTGCACACAGCAGGTGAAGAGAAGCAAGCTACTTCAACAGCACTCTTGAGTGACCAAGGCTCTTATCCCCCGGTTATAAAAAGACAGAAAAAAGCAAGAGGTGGAACCTTGATTGTCCTGTACTAGAGCACGGCTGATAAAGTAACTCACAGTATTTCAGAGACATTTTTCACAAATCTCCCTGGCACTTCTGAAGAACAGCTTAATTCTATTGTTACAATTACTATAAAGCACCATGGATTTTAGCTTCCTCTTTGGTTTTGTCTAACACGGGAACTGTTAGCTCAACAACAGTTTGTCTTCATATCTTCTCTATTACCAGTGATTGTTTAACAATATTACTTTTTAGAACAGGAAAAGTGATAAAGTCTTTCAAACTAAGCCTAATGAGATATGAAATCCATGGCTAATACTCAAATGCTGACAATACTCTTTAGGAAAATTATGAAATGACAGGTTTCTGTCATTGAGAATATACAAATAGCAAGACTGACAGCTTACACATCACAGCCCTTAATTTATAGCACTAGACTAGTTGCAAGTGAAATACAAGTTCACATCATCTACTGAATTCAAGATACAGTTTGCATTTATCTGCACTATCCCACACAGAGGTGCCTCAGGAGTTCGTGGTTTCACTTTACTCCTATTCTCAATCCTGTTTGTTCTGTGGAGCCAGAAAAGCCCCCTGGGATGCCATCTTCTGCTGCTTCCTGCTAACTCCCTGGAACCACAGCCACCCAAGCTACTTTGTTGAAGAACTACTCCCTTCCCCAATTCACCCTGGAGGAATGGAAGATGGTGACTGTTTTTCTTGTAATGCACAACTGTGTCAATATCTCTCCCATGTTGATTTTAAATCTTGTTTAAGACACTACGTTCAACTTGGAAATAACTTAAGGTGAAGAACACATGTTAACAGCAAACGCCTACCATTCCCAGTCTCCTACTAAGAGATTTAGAGATGCTGCCCACTTGCTCACCTCAGGGAAGATGTGAACTCTGAAAAAGAAGCCCAGCCTGTCTCTTTAGTTGGCATTGGCTCCTCTGTGCTCCAGACGTCTGACCCCACAGAGTCTAATGGAGCACCGTGGGTCGTCTCCATTGGGACGTCAAAGTTGGCTGACCAGTTGGGTGCTAAAAAGAGGAAAGAAATTTCATTTAGAGAATATTTTCAGTAGTTTAATGTAACACAAGATACTTTTCAAAAACAGATTACCAATGATTAAAAAAAAGACTGGCATTGTTGGGGAAAGGGTATTCTAATATACTGTTGGTAGGAGTTGAAAGGCACAATCACCTGGAGGGTAATTTGATAACACCCACCGTTTTATAAAACTGTATGTTTCCTGTGATCCAGCAATTCCATTTCTAAGAATTTTTTCCAATAGAAATATTACCCAAGGATACAAATATTACACAATCACCTGGAGGGTAATTTGATAACACCCACCGTTTTATAAAACTGTATGTTTCCTGTGATCCAGCAATTCCATTTCTAAGAATTTTTTCCAATAGAAATATTACCCAAGGATACAAAGCTACATATAAAAGGGTATGTTAATTTCTTAGTTTTGACAAACGTACCATGGTTATATCAGTATTGGAGGAAGCTAGGTGAAGGATACACGGGAACTTACTGTACTATCTTTGAAACTTTTCTTTAAATCTAAACTATTCCCCAAAAAAGTTTTATTAAAAAAAAATACACACACACACACACGCACGCACGCACGCACGCGCGCTGATACACACACACACATGCACGCACGCACGCGCGCGCTGGGTATTCCACTGCAATAAATTGGAAACCACCTTAATGCTTCACAATCCAGATGTACACACACACACACACGCACGCACGCACGCACGCGCGCTGGGTATTCCACTGCAATAAATTGGAAACCACCTTAATGCTTCACAATCCAGATGTAGCTGTACTTCAGACCTCCCATGGCCTCCCTGCAGTCCACTGTAGTTAACACAAACAACAGGAAGGCTTCCTAAAGTCCTGCCACTTGCCATCTGTGGTGCCCTTTTTGCCACACCATCTGCCAGCCAACTTTGGATCTAACCTGAAGGTTTGTTTAAATGTCACCTGTTCAGAGATGTGTCCCATCAGAAGAAATTAGGTCTCTGTTTGCTCTAATAGCACATCATGCTCTCCTTCACAGTATACTGAATCCTCACGTCCTTGTTGAGGACAAGTGGAGTGTGGGAACCACTTCTCTCTATCAGGGATATTTTCTGTCACAGTCAGGAACCTCAAGGATGTAAGGAAGGAATGATAAGGAACATGCTAGCTACTTGAGGGCTTGCTTATATTAGACACAAATGACTGAGAAGTACCTTTATAGAACAGAAATGTTCCAATTTTAAAGACATACCTTACTGTGACTTTGGTAAGTTATTTAACTGTCCCAAGTTCCCTCCTCATCTGTTCAATTCAGATAAGGACTATTTACTTAGGATTAAATGAGGGCCTGCACATAGTAGGTACTCAATTAGGGCTTGTGCCACGATTCTCACCCTTCAATCTGTGTGAGCGTGCCAGGGCTCCTCTGACACCAAGAAGGAATAATACCGAATGTTTGAAAATCTCACTTGAAACCTCAGGAAAGTCAACTTGACCGATATTTTTACCCTCCATATACAAAGATCTGGAATCATTCCATCTGAATCAGAGTTCCACTTTACAACTAAATTAGGTTTCACAAAAATGTTATCACTCGGTGATAACAAAATCACTCTGGGATATTCTTTCTCAGATGAGCTCCCCAGAGTCAGTATAACATTAGAAACTGTTCCAAACAGTCCACAAAACCTCTAAGAGAAGCCATAGAGATTGGTGCAGATGGCAGAGGCTCTCTGGGGCAATCCTGCAGTCCTGGGAGAAAAGAGTCCTCCCTCCCCCCCAACCCCTGTGCCTCCAGAGATCTGACAATGCAAAAAAAGCCTTTTCCACAGAGCAGAGCAGGAGGGCTGGCGGCCTGTTGTACTGAGCCCAGGGGGTGAGGGTAAATGTGACTGTCACCCAGGGTCCTCCCCTGACCTCCGTCCCCATAGCCAGTTCTAGAGTCACAGTGGCATGCAATAAGTCATACCAAGTTTGCAGTCTCCCTCCAAGTCACTCATTACATATCCAACCCCCCACAAAGAACCACAGATTATAGAATATTACTCAACTTTAATAAAGAAGGAAATCCTGTACATGCTATAACATGGATGAACCTTGAAGAAAATATGCTAACTGAAATAAGCCAAACCAAAAAGACAAATACTGTGTGTTTCCATTTATATGTGGCTCCTAGAGTAGTCAAATTCATAAAAACAGAAAGCAGAACAGTGGGTGCCAGGAGCTGGCGGTGGGGAATGGGCAGTTGTTCAGTGGGTACAGAGTTTCAGTTCGGGAAGATGAAAAAGCTCTAGAGATCTGTTACACAACATGTGAATATACTTAATGCTACTGAACTGTACATTTACAAAGAAAAAACCAAACACCATAGATTTCTGAGCCAAAAGATGAGCACATCTGTCCTGTCTCCTTCTCCTGTCTCCCTGCTGCCTGGATCCCGTCCTCTCAGCCCTCATTATTTCTTATGTTTAACAGTCTCTTAACAGTTTTCCTGTCTCCAGCATGTATTTTCTAGTCCAACTCTCACACTGTGGCCACAAGTGATAGTCTCAAAATAGATTCCATAATGTTACTCTTAGCCAAATCCTCGGGGGTCCCCTGCAACCTTTAGAATATAATTCTTGATCTGGCCTCTGGCCTTATCTCCTGCCATCTCATCCTCCAGTCATATGAAACAGCTCATGGGTCTCTATCCCTTCCTACTAGTTGATTTCTCTTTCAATTTAACTAATCCCTCTTGTCCTTAAGTATCATACCCTTTGGGAACACCTGGGCAGATGCCTGGCAAGGGCTGGGCTCCCCTCTTCCAGCACTCTGTTCTCAGGAGCTTGCACTTCAATCTATTTCTCTCTCTCTTTTTTTAAAAGATGAACCTTAAGGGGATCTTAACCCTTGACTTGGTGTTGTCAGCACCATGCTCAGCCAGTGAGCTAACCGGCCATCCCTATATAGGGATCCAAACCCATGGCCTTGGTGTTATCAGCACCGCACTCTCCCAAGTGAGCCATGGGCTGGCCCTTCAATCTATTTCTCAATGGATTCTGAGACCTTGGAAGCAGTCTGTGACTGGCACCTGGCACACAGTAGAAACTTAATAAAGGCGTGTTGATTTCAACTGAATTACACTTTTTCCTCCTGAAGAGGGAGAGCTGGAAAAGGAGGAAGGGGATAGAGGATACATGTCTTTTCTCTAGCTCCCAGTTTTCTTATCTGTAACATGTGGGAGTTTGCTGTTGACTGTTAAGGTCCCATCCAGCTCTGAGGTTACTAAATTCCACCTTCAGCTGGGTTTCAGCCTCTAGGACCAAGTACATAAAGGCCTTTCTGAGAACAGGAAGCTGGTCAGGCTTGGGGAAAGCCCCAGTGTCAACCCACATGACTCTTTCACGTAAACATTTTTCTAAAGTTTTGGAAGTTAACATATTTTAAAAGGCTAATTCAAGTTTTGTCAGCAAGTTGCAGGGCACAAACAAGCACTTAGTTGGGCAAGTTTTAGGGCTATAAGTTTCATACGTAAACTATGAAGAACCCATTTAAAACTGCTGAAGCTGTTTCCTCTGGTTTATTACATTCATGATTCTACAAAATACAATTATTTCCTCATCTTTCCACAATCTGTAGTCTTTCCCTTCTGCTACAGCACAAGGCTTCTGAAGCTGCAGGACTGACCTACAGTGTGCTGTCCTTTAGCCAGACGCACACAATGATTTTCATCCTGTAATGAGATGCCCTATGATCAAAAGCATGATTTCTCCTTCTCAGAGGTCAGTCCGGGAAACATAAACCTCCAAGGGGGAATCACACAAGAATGTGTGTTTCAATTTTACTCCTTCAGAAGTCATCTCAGATGCTGCAGAATATTCTTTTGCCTATTTTTCAAAATACCTAATTCCAACATAGCAACTAAGGTAACTTACGTTCATTCAAATCTACCTCCATTTTATCCTCTGTGTTGGCACTACTGGATTCAAACAAGTCTTGTTTTGCTCCATCTTCTTCTTCAGAGTCTGTACTTTCCTCACTGTCTGTACTCCCCGAGCTAAGAAAAAAGAAAAAGAACCAAAATAGTTAATGCTGCTTATCAGCCACCAGCTAAATCCAGAAAATTCTTTAAAGACAATTCATACTGCGTTTCAACTGGATCATATCTGCCCACATCCCATCCAGTTAAGATATCGGGGAAGACTTTGCTATGTGTGTGTCTAACCTTATGTAAGCCATCAGCTGCTCTACCACTTGGGCTTTGCTTCAAGGTGGAGATCACAATCTCTAATACTGCCTTCTAACAGGTGTGTAGTGGTTATCTTGGTGTTAATTTGCATTTTCCTAAGGACCGAAGATGCTTATTTGCCATCTGTATATCTTCTTTTCTTAAGGATCTTTTCATGTTTTTAGTGCATTTAAAACATTGGGTTGTCTCTTTTCTTTATTGAGTAAAGAAATTTAACTCTACATACAAGTCCTTTATCAGATATATGATTTACAAATGTCTTCCAGTGCATGGTTTGTCATTTCATTCTCCTAAGCGTCTTTTGAAGAGTAAGTTTTAAATTTTCATGAGGTTCAACTTGTTAAGACTTTTCTATCAAAATCAGTTGCCCATACACGTGTAGGCCTATTTATGTGCCCTCTATCCTGTCCCACTAACCTATTCTCTATCTTCTTGCCACACTGTCTTAATTACGATATCTTGAAATCAGGTGGCATTAGTCCTTCAGTTTTATTGTTCTTTATGAAAGCTTTGGTTATTCTAGGTCCTTTGAGTGTCTATATGAATTTAAGAATCAGCTTGTTAATAGCTACAAAAAAGCCTCTTAGGATTTTGTTTGAGACTATATTAAACTGATAGATCAACCTGGGAGAACTGGAATCTTAACAATATTGAGTCTTCCAATTCATAAACATTTATCAAGCTGCCTTTAATTTCTCTCAGCTGTGTTTTACAATTTTCAGTGTGCAGGTTTTGCATATCTTCTGTTAGATTTATCCCTACATATTTTTGATGCTACGATGGATATCTAGTAATTTCAATTCCAACTGTTTACTGCACTATGCAGAAAACAATTATATTGATCTTGTATTGTGAAACCTTGATAACCTCATTTTAATTGTTCTAGTAGTCTTCTTGTAGATTCCAGCCAATTTTCTATGTCAATGGTCATGTCGTCTGTGAATAGTGATGGTTTTACTTCTTCCCTTACAATCTAGATGCCTGTTATTATTATTTTTTTTTCTTGACTTATTGTACTAGCTGGAACCTCTAGTACAACACTGAAAAGAAGTGGTATGAACAGACACCCTTGTCTTGTTCCTAAATCTTAGGGAGAAATTACTCATTTTTTTAAAAAACCATTAATTATACTGCTAACTATATGTTTTTTTGTACATGCTTTAATCAGGTTGAAGAAATTCTAGTTTGCTGAGTTTTTATCAGGGATGGATGTCGGATTTTGTTACATGCTCCTTAATTGATTTCCAAATGTGAAAGCAATTCTATATTCCTGGAATAAGCCTCACCTGGTCATGATGCATTATTGTTGTATTTGATTTACTTAAACTTGTAAAGGAGTTTCTGCATCTATGTTCATGAGAACTATTAGGCAGTTTTCTTGAAATGTAATGTCAGATTTTGGTATTAGGCTACAATAGATGTGGCCTCATAGAATTAAATAGGTAATACTCCTTCCTTTTCAAATTTATGGAAGCTTTTGTATAGAACTTGTATAATTTCTTCCTGAAATGTTTGGTAAAATTCAGTGAAGCCGTGTGGATCTTGAGTTTTTACTTTTTGGTGGGAAGTTTTAAACTAAAAATTCAACTTCTTTAACAGATACAGGACTATTCAGGTTATCCTTTTTTGCCTAAGTTTTGGTAGTTTGTGTCTTTCAAAGATCATCGAAGTTATCAGATTTATTGACATAGAGTTGTTCATAATGTTCCATTATCTTTTTAATCCTTCTAATACCTGTAGAATCTAGTGATGTCACCTTTCTCACTCCTGATATTAGTAATTTATATCTTCTTTTTTTCTTATTCTGGCTACAAGTTAACCAATTTTACTGACCTTCTCAAAGAACAACTTTTGGATTCATTGATTTTCTCTATTGTTTTTGTTTTGAATTTCACTGATTTCCACTGTGATTTTCTTATTTATTTCTGCTTATTTGGATTTAATTTGCTCTCCTTTTCTAGTTTCTTAATGTAGTAGCTGAGCTCATTGATTTAAGATGTTTCTTCTTTTCTAATACAGCCAGTGAGTGCTAAATATAATTCTTAAGTATGGTTAAGAATTCCCCAAATGCATTCCCCAAATTCTGATATACTACATTTTCATTTTTCTTCAATTCAAAATACTTTCATATTTCCCTCGATTACTTCTTTGACCCATGTGTTATTTAATTTCCAAAACATTTGGGGATTTCTCAGAGATCTTTCTGTTATTGATTTCTAATTTAATTCAATTTTGGTCAGAAAATGACTTGAGCCCGTAGGAATTTATTGAGACTTGCTTTAGGGCCTGAATACGGTCTATCTTGATAAATATTTCATGCCCTTGAAAAGAATGCAGTCTGTCACTGCTGGGTGAGTGCGTTATAAATGTGCAAGTAGGACAACGTAGCTGATAGTGTTCAAGTGTTCTACATCCTTACTGACTTCTGCCTATTGTTTCATCAATTACAGGGAGTGGGGCTGTTGAGATATCTGACTATAATTATGCATTTGTCTAATTCTCTTTGCAGTTCTATCAGTTTTTGCTCCATGTATTTTGAAGCTCTGTTATTAGATATGTAGACATTTAGAATTGTCATGTCCTCTTAATAAACTGACCCCTTTATCATCACATGACTTTTATCCTTTTCCTTTGAAATCTACTTAGAGATTAATATAGACCTTCTAGCTTTTCATTAGTATTGACATGGTGTATCTTCTTCCTTTTAACCTGTGTCTTCTTGTTTAAATTGTTTTTTATAGACAGCATGTAGTTAGGCCTTGTTTTTAATGCAGTCTGAAAATCTCTGCCTTTTAATTAGGGTGTCTGGATCATTTATTTAATATGCTTACTCAGGATTAATTCTATCGTCTTGCTATTAGTTTTGTTTGCCCCAGCTGCCCTTTGTTCTCTTTTTCTGCCTTCTTTAGGGTCTCCTTATGATTTGATTTGATTTTCTTTGTTGGCTAATTAACAATAACTCTGTTTTGTTACCTCAGTGACTGTTTTAGGGTCTGTAGTATACATCTTTAACTTATCAATCTATCTTCAGATATTACAGCCAAAAACTGGAAACAATCCCAATGAACACCAAAAGGAAAATGGATAAACAAATTGCAGCATACCTATTTAATGCACACTCCTGGGCAGTAAAAAGGAATGAACTATTGGATATATTACAAAACATGGATGGCTCTCAAAATAATTATGCTGAAAGAAGCTAGACAAAAAAAGGGTATATAATGTATGATTTCATTTATACAAAACTGTAGAAAACAGAAAACAGATATGGGGGGAAAGAAGGGAAAAAGATATCACAAAGGGCATGAAAAAACTTTTGGGGGTGATGAATAATTTTGTGGTCTTGATTGAGATGATGGTTTCATGATGTATACACATGTTGAAAGTGACCACATTGTAGAATTTAAATAAATGCAGCTTATTATATGTCAATTATACCTCAGTAGAGTTGTTAAATAATAAACTGTCTTCTCTCATCACCCTATGTCCCCTCTGGGCATCAAGTGCCATCTCCCCCAGGACCTGTCCTCCCTGCCATACGTAATTCTCTGCTCTCTTCACATGATGCTCTGTGAAGATGTACTGCACTACTATAAAAATGTGTAAGGTCAGTCCGCCTCCAGAGGGTAAATGGCAGTAGGCAATGGCCATTTTGTGAATCCACTCAACGCAAGGACCAAAATCTCATAGTAAATGGTGACAAACAAGTTTGATTGGGGCTTTAATCTTTAAAGAAAGAAAAAAAAAAATCACCATGAAGGTGTTTGTCTTTGGCTGCCTGGCATTGGAGCTTCAGCAAGTATCTTGTGACCGTAGGTGATAAATCAACACACAGAGGATGACAGAGTGTGAACAAGTAAGAGAAGGCAGGTCTAACAACCTCGTCTAGAGTCTCGACTATGAGACAAATAGACCTTTATTTGATTAAGCCACTGTTGCATCTTCTGGACCAGCACAACAAGCACTCCTCAGACATACAACATAACTACTGGTACAGGCAGGCACAGGCAATGCTAACAAACTCTATCCAGCAAGAGGAACTAGCCGGCTGGGAGCTGGGGTAGGAGGGAGTTTTACTTTTCACTGTATACCCTTTTTGTTCCGTTTGAATTTTTTGCCATGTGAAAACATTACTTATCAAAAATAAATAAAATAAAAATAAAAGTTCAGTTGCTATTCAAATATCCCTCTCTCTTAACTATGAAGACTGTGATAATGAATACTCACAAAAAAGGAACTCTGTGTACAGAAGCATAATTTATTTAGGTTCCTACAATAAAAGTGATTTAAAAAAAAAGACTGGGTTGACCCAGATGGTTATCAAGTGACATAACCCTGTCTTCCCAAGATAGACTGAGTTTTAGAAACAATTTCCCCCTACTTTGGGAAACTTTTAGTCTTTTTTTTTTTTTTTAATTTTTATTTTATTTTTCTGACCGGTGAGGGGATCGCAACCCTCGGCACGGTGTGTTCTGCACCACACTCAGCCAGCAAGTGCACCAGCCATCCCTATTAGGATCCGAACCCGTGGCCTCAGCGCTACCAACGCCGCACTCTCCCAAGTGAGCCATGGGGCTGGCCCAAAACTTTTGGTCTTTTATAAGGAACAGACATAACTCAGCTGTTGTTGTGATTACTATGAGGAAACATTAATTTAGTCAAAGGCACTATGAGACTACACTTGTCAGCATCATTTCCTGTTCAGAAGATGCTGAGTCACAACATTTCATGACTATGTCCAAACACTTCCAGCATTTTCAACAGATCATTTTGACTATTACTTTGTAGACAGGAGTACTGGTGCCAACTCACGTCAATTAACATAGACATTTCTGATCATGAGAAAAGCACTGGTCTCATAATTATATGTTTGGTCTGATACAACGTATGGGTTGGATATAATTATGACTATAATAAACTATCTTTTTTTTACCTGGATCGTCTTTGGGATTCTGGTGTAAATGCAATGTGCTTTTCCTCCCAGATATCTTCCTCATCAGAGCCACCATCATCAAACTGCTGTATTCTTTCCTTACAACATGCCTCAAACAAGGCAATATTTCCCTAAATAAAAACAAGAGAGAAAAAGAAAAAAATTTTAAATCAAGTTTTCTCCCAAAAGTTACCAATGTAAATTGCATTTTTCTACTTGCTTTAAAAAATGGTGACTATCCCACACACCAAAATAAAATGTAAATATCTAACGTTAGCTTCTGTGTAAGTCACAAGAAGTTCTCCTGAAAAGAAGGGGTTCAAAACTAGCACGCAAGAAGCCTAGACCACATCTTCTCATCAACTCACTTTCATCTAGTCAAAGCACCATCTTAATCCCAAGAACCTCCTCTGCCCCGGAGATGCAATCTCAGATTTGTCCTAACAAGGGAAAGCAACCTGTATTCCATCTGCTTTTACAGTCTAGCTAAACAGTGATGAGCTTCAATGGCCCAAATCAGTCATACCAGCAAATTAACCACTGTTCTCTCATGCTAATCAACATAAAATCAAGACTGTATCCATCCAAATGATGCTGACTGTCTTGGTGTTTCTGGAGAACTTCTTGCCCTGATCTAGCCCATGTTTCTCCCCAGGAAACACAAAGGAGAAGTAAAAAGCAGCAGGCTAGAGTCAAACTGCAGCATTCTGAACTTTGGAACCAAATGTCAATACTGAAATCACAAGTGACCCTTGGTTTTGATGGCTCTGTCACATGCCCACATTGGCCAGGTAGGAAAGTGAGTGGGTGAATGGTGTAAACCCAATCTAGGACAAGGGCTCCTACAATACAGGGTGTCCCAGTGCACATGGCATCCATATGTGGGCTCCAAGAGAACCCAACTCCCACTTTTCCACCTCTCAAATGCCTTGTTGCTCACAAAAGGAAATATTTATACTTACACTTTCATTTGTATTGAGAGTAAAGTTGATGTCTGATACCCGATCAAAAGAAACACTGTAAACAAAATACAAAATTATCTACAGATTTGCAGAAACAGTACACATGAAATTTTCTAAATTCAAAATATTTATACTATCATTAAAATCTCCATAAGTAAAAAGCAAACAAAAACAACCATCTTATATTAAATGATGCTTCCTCCCTTGGTATTAAGAAATTTATACAGAATGAGAGGGTTGGGATGGAAGCCTTTTGAGACATAAGCCTTTGAGACACCAGCGAAGCCTTCCTATAAAAGATTCTTAACATCCATGGTAAGAACCATGGTTCCATAGACCATATTTATATAACCAAGAAAAAGGATATTTGCAAAGAAGAACCAAATCAAAACATGAAAAAGTATACAAAAGCCATCAGACATTGAGCTGTCTCCAGATATAGCCAAATCCATACACAAAATACATAGACACCCTGAAATCTTATGCTATAACAAGGCATAATACAGGAAGAAAGTAGAGAGTAAAAGAATTCATAGCCTATTAAACATAATTGTTGAGTAGGTGGGGCTATCTTACAATTCTTAAAAGATTTGTTCTAATGAATCATTATTCCAAGCACCCAATACAAATTTTAAAGAGATAATGGATTCCTAACTAGTAACATTTAGGAAGAGTCCAGACAGATAAAGGCTGAGATGCCAAGCGGGAACCTATGGGTCCTACCATGAGGTGGTAGGTATAATCAGATAGAATGATCCGGGGGTATAGACACAAACACCTTGTGACATGTTCTTTTTCTTTCTGGATCTAAATGAGCCAATTCTCAAGGCAGCTGACAGCCTTCAACTCCTGCTCCATTTACAATGGAGCCTCTATTCCACTGTGCCAAATATGGCATGTTTCCAGCACAATTAGAGTGTGCTGTAAAAATATTTTAGTTTCTCACATACTATAAAATGCCATTTGTGACAAACAGCCTCTACTGGCTGATATTCAACAAATTATTGAGAATTTTCTGTTTCTAAGGCACCAGATACTGAGTGTTGATGGGCATAATCAGAAAGTCTCCTGTGAGGATTATCATCTAACATTCAAATGCCAGCTGTCTTAATTTTTTTCTTAAATTCTGCTCTCAATGAGCTACAATACCTCAAAAATATCTCAAAAGAATTTTGTTTGTAAATTACCTCTCTTTTCCCAAGGTCAGATGCTAGACCATTTGTTTTCATTTCTGTGAATCACCTATACATTTTCTATTTATTAATTCTGTATAGTAGCAATAATTTCCATTTCTGTGTTTCTCTTACTCTGACTACAGAATGAGTGGTTTGACTATCTGGCTCTTGCAAAAAAAAACCCCAAATCTACCTTATGACGAGTCACCTAGAGAAAAGAATACATGCAGGGCAGAGTTATTCCTACCAACGTGGTCATCTACTGTAAGATAATACCGCACTGCATGTTCTGTAAGTGAACATGCCTCAAACCAGTTAACTAACAACATAGAAAGTAATTACTTTAGATAACGCTATTAATACCTAGAAGAGCAGAATGATAACTTGAGTTCCTAAAATAAGTATAATCTAATAAATATAAACCTCTGTGAAAGAGGTGACGCCTAAAAGTGAATGCTACTTTCCTTGGGGTGATATTTTAAGTCCTAATTGACCTAATTATTCTAATTATCCAGCCTTAGGGCTGGATATGCTGGAATAAAAGACCAGTATGGATGGCAGGCTCCTCCCAATTCACGAATGCTAAAGAATCCGGAAGAATCACAAATCACAAAAATGTCTCACAAAGGGCAGGGGTGTACGAGGCAATTAGGGAAACAGGAAAATATACTCACTTGCCAATGTCATCTTGATCTGCAAACTTCTCATCGTTGAAGCCAAACTGGTCAATAAAATTGGACGTCATTTGTTGCATCTGATAATCAGAAAAGGCCTGGCAACCCCAGGACCAGTGACAGTGATATAATGATTCTAATGACATTCTACATACTATTTGCCCATTTGTGTTCCAGAAATCATATTTATATAGCCATAGGGCTTTAAAAGTTGGTGTGTTTTTCTAAAAACAAAAGTTGAATAATTTCAGACATAATTTGTCAAAAAAGGAAACATTTAAAATTTGGTTCACAAATCATTCTAATGTGCACGTGTCACTGTAAGAAATGTTAAGTGACCACTCTGTCCTCCATTACGAATTACCTTTAGAGAGAGGTTTGGGTTAAGATTACTCTGAAGTGATCAAGTGACATCTAACAGTCTGAAATTATACAGTGTATTAGTCACCTCTGGACACAACCAACTTCATCCTAAGATCCAACAAATCCACCCACCTTCCCTCCTTGCCATCTCCCCCACCCCCAATCCACTACAGCAAAACAGCACCAGAGGAAAAATGAATGATGAACACAATCATGATCCCACAAACAAGACTCTTAGAAACGTTTCATTTTCTTAATAAAAGACTTAAGTCTTAGAGGCTGGGAAGAGTGTAAAACAAAAGTAACTTATACCCTACCTACCTTAAGGAGAAGGCAGAAATGTGTAACATTCATCTGAAATCACTCTGAAAAGCCTGTAACACTACAAGACTCATGGAGGAACCAGTTCTGTGTCTTTACATCATATAGGGAGCACCTTGCTCACTTGGGTTTTCTTAGTTGAAAACGGGGGAATATTATTATGGACTCCACGAAAATGTTGATATTCTAATTTAAAACCAGCAGGCCCAAGGAAGCAAGTGAAACCTGCGAGTATGTCCTCACGTATTAATTAGAAGTAAAGAACACATGAAGACAAGCAAATGCCACCTCCCCATTTTAACCCAAGCAATAAAACGGAGACAATAACAATGTGTGTGCTACATGCTGGACAGAGCTCTGTACAGATGAGACTGCTATTTTTCACAGTGGAGAGCTCCATGAGGGGCAGGCACAGCAGCTGCTGGCTGAACAGAAGGTGTCTCCTCCGAGGCCACTTGCTGGGAAGGAGGCAGCTATGACTGAGATAAGCCAACTTCTCCACGGTTCCACATCTGAGCAGAGCCCCCAGATCCCACCCTGCAGACGTAAGCTGCAGAAACGCATCTACCGTTAATGCCTGACTACTCATTCTGGTGACAGGGAATTATGGCATGGATAATCCAAATTGCAGATAATTAAAAAATAAACCTTATATTTGTCTTTGGAAGGTATCTTTTGCTCAGATCTGAAAAAAGCCAAATCTAGTGTGGCTAGATACAGAGAACCCAAAACCTCCCTTTTCACTTGTGCAAGACAATGGCACACCACCGCCCCCTCTGCTCAGTCACACTTCCATGTTGGACAGTTTTTTGCCCACAGAGATATTATATAAGTGCATGGGGTCACAGGGCCAGCATGCAGCAGGCTAAGGGACAGTCATTCACACTTTATCTGCAGAGGCAGCTTTGTAGGACCACATTTGGTAAGGCATAGAGTGTAAACTAAGGCTGAGTTGTGGGCACCGGGTTGAAAGTAGAAGGGTAGGGACAAGTTCTAGGATGCTGGGCTGTTTTCGACATATGAATGGAAAATACGACAGGCAGCACTCATATTCATAAAGTCAAAAAGAAAGAGACAACTCCACTTCATCTTTTATGAAGCAAAACGGATACTTGGTACTTTAAAGATATGGTAAAGAACCATGAAGTCAAGCTGCTAAGCAAGCAGCATAGGGCAGGCTCTGAGTTTACCTACAGAATGGAAATTTGGTCATGCAAGGGAGAAGAAGGTGCATCCCAATTGTTCCACTTGATTCTTTTTTTTCCCTTCAAATTTTTTATACCTACAGTGATCATATTATGATTCTTCTGGGTATAAAGGGGAAGAAATGGTGCCAACAGTGTTTTTATACTTTAAATGCTTTAAAACAGAATGCAAATACTAAATATACTATAAATGTATACACATATATATATACATGAAGATATACATATACAGACATACATATGTACACACATTTGGATTCATGCTATCCATGTATCCATGTAGAGAAAGCAACTGATAGACACTAGTAACTTCCATGAAATAATGCAGAGAAAAAAGAAAAATGATAAACTGTAGTCCTATCCTCATTAGTACTAAGTTTATTATAGCTTCTAAGAAGATATAAACTAGCAAAGAACTTCACATTTCAAGTATGATTTTTAGTAATAAAGCTGTCAAAGCTTACAAACTCACATAAATGAAGACAGTTACTGTATTCCATTTAAAGGTAAATAAGAGGTGCTTTGAACCCTGAGAAATCCAAATTCAGAAAACACCACATAGCTGTGTAATTATTAACAAAGCACACTTCCCAGTACTGTCCATCCTGGCCAAAGTCGGAGACTATTCAAGTCACTAAGAGGTGTACCAACCACTTTATCAGGCAAATCTCTTAAAAGTTATGCCACCCAGGCAACAGAAACAACTAATCAACTCAATCTGTCCTGACTGCCTATCAGCACACCTATATGCGATGTGGGTAGTGGAAGGTGATCAGATCAGTCCTTTAGAGCCCATTTGTCACAGTCAGCCTTAACACTCCAACACTGCATGGGCAAGAGCTCCTTACCCTCTACACCTCTGGCAGGCTTAGTAGGATGAGTAGTCAAACAGTAGGCGTTAGGAGACCAAAAAGGGCTGGAGGCAGAACAAAATAGGCAAGGCCATAAACGTTGTAGGGCACTCCACATAGCAAATACAGCCCCACTGGTGACATGGTTAGGTTACCTTTTTAAATGCCCTGCCCTAAGCTCTCTACACTCAGGGGCCTTATCAATATGAGGCCCAACTTCAAAGGTGAATAAGAGCTTGAAGTTGACATCTATAAACTAATAATTCTAATGGGTACTATGATAAAACTTTTAAAAATTAACCTAGACTTGTCTTCTCAAAATTAAAAAAAAACAAAAATGCTCTGTAGCATATTTCTTATTTTCAGAATTATCCATGGCTGGTTTCTAGTTTAAACATGCAAAGAAAAGCTTAGTGGAAGGTTGTCAATCAGAAAAGAATAATTATTCTTCCTACTTTTATAGATTTACATGAAAGTGGATAAAATTCACAAGATGAGGAGCTAGGTGAGATCTGTGTTAGTAAGTCGGTTTTGTGGCTAGGATTGCTTAATATGCACATCAGCAGTCAGTCAAACCAAAAAAAAATAATGTAGGGAAACCTCCACCCAGAACAGGTATGACCCTGGAACCAGATATCTTGAGAAATAAGGGGATCCACTCTCTAAATGCCTAAATTTAACAAATTCTAGATTAAATCAGTAGCATGAAGTTCCAAATTTACTAGCATATTTACAAATAGGTATTTAGAGCATTCTTTTTCTTAAAGCTGAATTTCAAAAGGTACAAAGTCATCTTGATAATTTACATTTGATACCATTAGGCTTCATTCTAGGCATGGAGCAAATGTGTAGCATTCGGGTTCATGCCTGGTTGAGTGAACTATTTCAGTACTCTCCTGGTGCTTTAGTGGAGAGAGAGGCTGTTATCAAACTGCTTCCTGGGGCAATACCAGAGAGCTCTGGGACAAGAAAGGGTTACTTGTAGGCATTAGGGCTTGTGGTGGGCCACATGGGTGCCAGTGCTGCCTAACAGCAAGCCCAGGGAGGAGGGTGGCAGTGAGGGCAAGCTGCACTCTTCAAGAAGGAACTGATCAACAGCACCCCCTGTGGGCTTGCTGCTCCCTGACCCTAACCTCAAGAGATTGGCTTCCAAAGGGCAGCAGTACCAAGCACCAACTGAAAAGCCAGCCAAGTGCTGAAATGCTACTTCAGATCTATCTGGAAAAGGTGAATGCTAATTTTTCTTCATATCAAAACCAAACAATTGCTCTGCTCAACCAATACTGGAATATGACAGTCATGGACTTAGAAGCCAAAAGACAGGGTCAGCATAAGCATCAGAAACTTCATACTGGCCCCAGTAATGAGACTTAGAGACTGAGGAAAAAAAGAGCCAACCAACACTCAGCGTCAGGTAGGAAGGTGTCTCTGTTAATCCTATTGCCACACCAAAACAATTTACATGCCAAGACCTTCTGGTCCTGGCTAAGGACAACATCTCCATATGAATAGCTGATAACTTGCAAAAGGACTTCTATTTTTAGCTCCCAAATTTGATACCCAATAGAGAAGTGAAATCTTTTTTTTTTTTCCTTTTTGTCTTTTTTACTGACCGGTAACGGGATCACAACCCTCGGTGCGCCCGCACCGTGCTCAGCCAGTGAGCAGAAACCGGTCTCCACATGGGATCCGAACCCTTGGCGGGAGCGCCACCGCGCTCCCAAGCGGCGCACTCTCCAGTGCGCCACCGGGTTGGCCCGAGAAGTGAAATCTTTTGTCACTTCTCTAAGAACCACTAATGGATGATAAATCAGTAATTTATTATTTATACCCTGTTTTTTCCGCCATAAAGATTATAAGCAGCTGATAAATGGAGATGAATTTGGGGGCAGGAGGGTAGGGATGGCAATGAATTAATTCATCTAAAACTTAATTTAATATCACTATAATAAAACTTACAGATATGGAAACATACCATTAAGAGGGGGAAGGATCATTTTAATAAGCCATTTGGTTCAGGGATATCAATGAAAGTTTACTTTTACTTAACATTTTTAAAAAGTCTTGTTTCTGTTATTCTTACCCACAGATCTCTAATACCTGAATCTTTAGGCAACAACTCAACTACTGTAAAGATCTGCATAATGAGCATGTGTAAGAACACTTACTAACTATTCACGTTCAGTTCATTCAAATCTGAAAATCTACTTGACACATCACTGTTATCAGGTATGGAACATTCCCTGGATATTTAACCAATATAAACCTACCCGTCACAGACCCAACCCTTCCTATTCTAAATGCCTTTGCCTAACTAATAAGTTATCCCAAATCACATTCTAATACATAATCTGTGAAGCTGATGCATAAATGGCAACTAAACTAAGCATTTAAAATAAAAACAAAAAGCAAAGCTTTAGGTATGACTCACTTGCTGCAAAGAAGAATCCTGTGAGAAACCCGTTTCTTTAAAGTCAATTTCATCATCACTGGATGAATGAATATGGCAGGTTGTAACCTATATGCATAAAAATGTAAAAAACTATTTAACAAAGAAAAGTTTTGGACATTTGTATCAGCATTTTTATGGAAAAATCACATTTAGTTTTTCTCTCAACGTGTAACAGAAAAAACAAAAGAAACAGGTTGTCAAACCCACCCAGTACTTCAAGGGTATACACTTCGCTCAGGTCTGGCTACCTGTCCTTCTGCTGCCCCCTTCTGGTTATTTCACTCCTCAGTACTAACATTACCAGAAAACAGATTAAAAAGAAATGAGCAACTCCATTTAAGTGATTTTGATAATTATCTCCAATTAAATGCTCACAGCAAAGGTAGAGGTAACAGTGCAGATGAAACACAGGACATTCATATGTGCCATACCTGTAGGGTAAAACTGTAATCCCCAGGGATTACTAATGAGCCACTAAAAAAAAATCAGATTTAAGTATAACCATTTCACTTTAAATTCTTCAATTTCCTGCCCACGCTAAGAAAAGTGTTGTCTATAAACACTAAATATGACTTGAGTCAATAATCCCCTTCTCACAAATGACCCCATATCTTCTATCCCTGAAAATACACCCTGTACCCTCAGAACTTATAACCAACTCTCAGTAATTAAGCAAAAACACAAAGATAAACTGCTCACCAATTCATGGTTAAGTGACTTTTATTAATTAATAAATATCACACAATATTAGGGAAGAAATGCATTAACAATTAGAAATCAAGATATACAAATAAATACAGCACTAATAACAACAATTGATATATAACAAATGATAAATATGAACAGTTTGTAAAATTCTAGAAACAAGCACTATACTTCTAAGGGTAACTTATATTGTATTCTCTGAGTTATTTATCCTACATCTTTCATAGAAGTGTTCTGGGCAGACAACACTGTCCTTAGGGGAAGACAAGAGCAGCTGCCACCTGTCAACTCTTGAGGCTGTGCCTATTAGTCTGGAGTTATAGGAACAGGCCTGGCCTGCTTTGTTAAGTTGTTCCAGCACTAGCTCAAAAAGTCTAACACAGAATCCCAACAGGTCTGTATGGGGTATGGCTTGTAAAATTCCAAATAAATCATTGCCTAAATAAGAGTAATCTCTTTTCCCTTCGTCTAACCATCTTTGATAAAGATACTAAGTCCAAGTGAAATTAAGCTATTAAGAACCCAAATGTTCCCAATTATTTCCCTCTCCATCCTCCCTAAGGTATAAAGTCCTTGCATTCTACTTGTGAATCTGGCCTGATGTAGAATTCATAATCACTGAAGAGCATCTGCTTGAGTCAACAGCCTTAGTGAGTTACTGGGGAAAGATGTAGGGATGGGGACACAGAGGGAGGTGTGGAATACTGCTTGGTCACGGCAGCTGGCATCTTACAGGACCTCTTACTACATTCAAAAGCAGGTCAAGTGGTTCTACTGCAGTGGATTGAGAGGAGCTTCAGGCTACTTGGCTAGCAAGGTAGTGCACCATGCTAAACCATTGTGTGTTTTAGGGGTGCAACCCCATTTGGGGGCACAGAAACAGAAGACAACTCAAAAAGCAAGCCAGGTGAACTGAAAAAGAGAGAATAAGAGTTGGCTGCTCCTAGCCAAGACCTGTTGTCTAAGTTCAAACAGGATACAATGTATCCTCAAGCATATTTTTACTTTTCCTTACAAAATAAGATTTTATCACTATTAATTAAAGAAGGAAATTAACTTTAATTGAGCAACTACTATGTGCCAGACATTGCGACCCCTTTACGTGTTCTACTCAAACTGTATTCTCAAAGTAATCCTGGAAGGTATTTAAAAAGGTTTTTCTTGGCCGGCCCGTGGCTCACTTGGGAGAGTGTGGTGCTGACAACACGAAGTCAAGGGTTAAGATCCCCTTACCGGCCATCTTAAAAAAAAAAAAAATGTTTTCTACAAAAAGAAATTAGTTTTAGCAAGTTATTATAAATAACAACAATGCACACACACCTTCACAATTACATTAATGGAAGATATGATTTGCATTCTACCCACATACTCTACAAAAAGAAATTAGTTTTAGCAAGTTATTATAAATAACAACGATGCACACACACCTTCACAATTACATTAATGGAAGATATGATTTGCATTCTACCCACATACTCTCAGTCTGAAATAATTATTAACAAAATGAGCTGAAAAGACTATTTAATTTACCCATAGTGGGGCAGGGACGGGACTTGCTAATCAGAACCCATCAGTTTATCACTCAGATGTATACAAAAATGAGTTCCTGATCTACACTTCCAAACACACTCCTTGTGAGGCATCTCCATCTCAGTAAATGCCATTTTTACTCTCCTCCTCCTTCAGCTAAAAACCTGTTATCCTGGTTTCTTTGTCTCACCCACATCTGCCCACTACCTTCAAGATGTAACATCAAATCCCATCACTCCTCACATCACACCTATTTATTATCACCTCCAAGTGCAAACCACCATTATCCCTCACCTGGATTCATGCTCATTAGGCACCAGTCTCCCAGCTTCTAACTCTTGCCCCACTACAGTCTATTCTCAACACTGCAGCCATCAAATTATGTCACTTTTTAGTTCAAAATCTAATGGTTTCTCATCTCACTAAAATCAAAAACCTGGATGCTCAATGTGGACTACAAAGCTGTACAAATTCTGGCTTTTCAGGGCCTCTCTGGCCTCATGGTTTCCTGGTCCCTCACTCACTCTGTTACAGACGAACTGGACAACACGCCAGTCCCTGCAAACATGAGGACCATTTCATCTCGGGGCCTCTGCATTTTGTTCTTCTCTCTTTCCTTCTCTCCCTTCAAGTCTCCACAAGTGTTACCTTCTTGGTAAGGTTTTTCTTGACCACCTGATTTCAAATGGCACATCTGCCAAAATGCTCCTTGACTCCCTTCCCTATGTTTGCTCCTTAGCACTTACCGCCTGAAACACACACTCGTAAACGACATACACTGTGTGTGTGTGTCTCTTACTCATTTGTTTATCCATCACCAGTGAAGCAGGGATTTTTGCCAATCTTGTTTAGTCCTCAATGTCTGGCACAGAGTAGGCACTCACATATTTACTGAATTAATGAATACTAATAAATCACTAAATGAGAACAAATACAGCAAAAAGTAACAAGTATATAAGAACCCTCTTGCCAAGCTAAATGTATTCTAAGTACATTCTAGATGTTGCAGTAAAAGAAGCTTCTGATAGTTTACTTTCTTTCATAATAAAATTTCCATTTTATTAATTGCTGTTAGAGGAAAAAGCAAACAGGTGTTTTCTTCACCTTGGCTGATTAGACTGCCAAGGAAAACCCTAAGTATGATGTGACTACTAAACTCCAAGGCCTGTATCAGTGGAAAGAGAGAGCTAGAGACCCTCACTCCTCACTACTCCGAGTGTATCCAACTGTAGACCACCAACATTGGCGTAACCCAGAGCTGGTTAGAAACACCAACGCTCAGGTTCTACCCCAACCTGCAGAACATACAGGCAATTCATGCATGCACATTCATACCACTCTACACACCTCCATAAACTATCTTGTCAATGATGGGAAAGAAGCACCAACACATTTAAAACACATTTTCCCTCTTGGAGAGGAAGGCAGAGAGTGAAATAAATTGAATTTTCCAAAGTCAGTACAAACACATTTCCTACGTTATCTAAATTTACTCTATCGAAATCCTTGCCAGTTTTTACAGTTTGGGGGCTCAGTCAAAACACAGAGGTCTCTGGATATAATTAAATACCACATTTTATTCATAATAAACTCTCAACATAAAAACATAGGCAGTATTTGAATTGACTGTGCACACATTTTGGCATGATGGGGTCATAAGATTAAAGCACTCTGAATATCTCGGAGAGAGTTGAATTGAAATGCTGCAGTACAAATGGTAGGAGCTCAGGGCTGTCACAGCTTATCCTAGATAAGTGAGTGAGTCCTCAGGCCTAGAGCCAGTAGGACAGGTAAGTGTTCCGTGTATAAATGAAATGTATTTTTGCTGTGAATAGAAAAATAAAAACAGACCGGGGTAATGTAACAATGTACTAACTCAAGCATGTGGTGTTGAACTACAGGTGGACTCAAGTCCTATGATACACCTGAAATGATTCCCAGGGAGGTATCTAGGCCAATCTAAAACAAACGAAGTCAAGACAGTATATCTAATCTAAACTATCTATTGGGAAAGGGGGACAGAGAATAAGCAATCTATTACTTAATTGCCAATTCCAGTGATGATCATGTTAAGAAGTTTAAGTGATTTTACTCAGATTGGTACTACATTTCACATGTAGGCACTCTTTTTGTATGTCACTTTTGCAAGGGCAAGGCCCAATGTATTTACTAAGTGTGTTTATAATAATATTTACAACAGCATATTTCCACTGAAACATGGTACCCATCACCACTGAGGTAGATCTTGAAAACATTCTGTGCAGGAAAATAAAGAGCCTAGAGGACATAGTTAAAATCTCCTTGGTGGTCTAGGATTAATGCATAGCATTCTTTTTTTTTTTTTTTTTTTAAAAGATGACCAGTAAGGGGATCTTAACCCTCGACTTGGTGTTGTCAGCACCATGCTCTCCCAAATGAGCTAACCAGCCATCCCTATATAGGGATCCGAACCCATGGCCTTGGTGTTATCAGCAGCACACTCTCCCAAGTAAGCCATGGGCCAGCCCTCATAAGCATTCTTAAAAACTTGGAACATACGTAGCTCTCAAAATGCTACAAAGCAAAATTCCCTACTGGAGGGACTTAAGACTAAATGGAGGTGGTATTTAAGAAAGGCATTGAGACCAAAAAATTAAAGAGGTCTTGAGATCAGCCCCAGTCTCAACAGAGAGCAAAATTATGGAGTGGGGCTGATTCAACAAGGAATATCAGCAATGTTAAGAGGGCTATATAAATCTGACCACTTTTGCTATATAAGCCAATGTCTCCTTATTTCCTTTAACTGTAGATTATTTGTGTACTCCATCTATGATGGCAGAAAATAGAGCAAGCGAAGGAGAACTGAGCTCCAATTCAAGTGACAGATGGAGCCCATGATAATTTTTCTTTCAACACAGTTGTCAGTGTCTACAAGTACCTGACTCAAAGGAGGCTGAATATGTATTTTGCACTGTGTGCTCACAGCCCTCCGTGTACATATACATAATAATACTTACGCGCAATCACACAGCAGATGAACTGACAGCATCATGTAAAGTAACTGAGTGCTATCTGAATGGCAATGAAGTCCCTCTTTATTACTACAGAACTGCTCAAGAGAGATTTGCAAAGAAGTTTTTTAAAAAACCTAAGAAATTTTAACTGGATATTGTTGACTTCTACCTTTAAAGTCAATCAAAGAATAATTTTTAAAAAGTTTCCCAAACAAAATCAGAATTAATATTCTTAAATATTCCTTTACAAATAAGAAGCAAGACAAAATCCCCTTAAAGGAGCCTGCATTCTTAGGAAGGAATCAATAGGGGAGCCTCAAAAATTAAGCGGTTTAATTCAATGGTATGGGTGAGTACAATTTCACTCTATTAAAAAGCCTTGATTATCCAGAACTCTCAGGTTAGGTGATATTCTGGGTATTTAATCCAGCTTAAATTATTTTAACCAATTTGATTGGGGGAAAAAACCCAAAACTATATATAATGGGTAATATATTCATTAAAAATAACTTAACCCTTTCTTGATGACCCAGGGTTGTTAATATGAATGTCAATTTCTCTGTTGGGCTGTAACACATGGAGACATTAGGGCTGTGAACACTATTTTAATTAAATGCCCCCACACAGCTCCCTTTTTATAGTTATTTCAACTTCATTATTCTTCCAACTCTTAATACTTCTTAATTCTATCAGTGCATACACCTTACAAAGCCATTACCCTACAACTCTGTCAATCAAGAGTCTAGAAAAAGATAACCAAATTTATTAGACAATCTACAAAGTAGGAGACAGAGGCTCTTCAGGGAGTGTGACATAGGATGATCTAGTGACTACTCTGTTGCTTTCAGAGCCGGTTTCCCTCTTGTTTCTAAGTTATGTTCTGAACAGATAAGGCCGCAGATAGGAATAAATGAATTCTTAAGTTGAGGTGTTATTGTATATTAGAAATTCAAGACTGCAGCTACTGAATTTCAAATATAGAATTAAATACTGGACACAAATACTCTTCAATGTAGAGTTAAGCACTACTTCTGTCTAAGTCAAGGCTACTACCTCAACAATCAGCTAGCATGTGCTTATAAAAGGAAATGCTTTCCAATCTTTAAAAGCAAAAACAAAGCAATACTTACCTTAAACCTTAAAGGTAAGTTGTTTTTTGCATTAAAAAACAAAAAATACACTCCAAAGTCCAATATAATTTTTAAAAAATTATCAATGCCATTATTCCCTGGCTAAAAGTATCAATTCTTAGGTTAAAGATTTCAAAGTTGGGGTTTCAGTCATCTAAAAAAACTTCCCACACTGGGAATTATCTAAAATGAGGGTAAACTCAATATATCAGAAAATACCCCCCAAAATATTTAGGTTTCTAAGCACCCAGGGTTACCTGAGGCATAAGGCAACAAACCCAACAGAATAAAAGGAAGGCTAGAAGCTGTTTTGTTGAGGTGCTTAGGAAGCAGGGCAGGGAGGGAAACAGATACTAAATATGATGTGAAGTAGAAACTAGTGGCTTTTTAGTACCCTTTTGTCATCTGAGGTAGATAACTAGGAGTTGTCTAAACAAATGGGCAAGTACTGATCTCCCTTCCTGATAAAGAGACACGAACTTTCCTTGGCCCACAACTATGGGGAAAATGGAAGATCCTTTACATTTTTCTGAATAAATGGGCAAAAGCTAAGAGCACCAAAAAAATATAAATGTAACCTTGTAAAACCTACTAGATCTACCGTGTTCCTCTTGTTAGTTTCTCCTAAGGAGCTTGTGCAGAACGTCTCCCATCGCTCCCTGACTTCGTCGGGAAGATCTTCAGAGTGAGAAAAGGAAAAAAGCATTATCACCACAGTGACCTCCACATAGACAAAAAAAATACGCAGATAATACAAAAGTGGGCCTACCCACCTGGTTCATCGATGGTGAACATGCCCTATCAGCTGAGTAACTGAGCGACAGCCAGCCCAGTGCTCTTAGAGGAATGGAGTCAAATACCTCGCACAGCCGGGATCCCATGGACTTCCAGGAACTAGACCCACCCCACCCCGCAAAGGTGTAGGCTTGATTAGGCCAAGAGCCCTAAGCAGCTCTGTGAACTTAAGTTTCTAAAAATGTTTTGGTAGAAACTTAACCTGGAAAATGTGTTTCTAACAAGCTCTTCTGAGAAAGGTAGTAGGGCTTTAAGGTGTGTTTGGGGAGAAGGAGCCATCTTTTTCCAAGGTCAAGTAAGTTTAGGCAATGCTGCAAATGACAGTTCCCACACACTTTCTTGGGATACTCTGATTGGCATCTGATCAATGAATGTTCTGTAAAACCCAGATTGACTTCACAAATTGCTCCAAGATGTTTTCTAAAGGTCTGTGTCATGGCCCAACATATGCATAAATATGCAATAGTGAAATTCTACCTTCTAGAGCGATTTTAAAGGATACACGACTACTCTTTTGAGAAAATGAAACCATGGCTGTAATTTTGGAGGCCTCACTAAAGTTGTCATCTGACAATACTGGTTTAAACACCGATGCATGCATGCATGCACACTCACACAGGCACACACACGTGCCATCTAGCAAGCAACTTCCATAAAAGAAAGACTGATCTAAAAAATGTAATCATATCACAAGGCCACTTCTCCTTGGTACAGACATAAAGACAAACTGTGATGAAGAATGCCTTGAGGAAAAGGCTTACAGCTCCCTCTCAAGAAGCAAAGCTACAGGTGGGCAAGCCCCAGTTTTTGTCACTGTGTGACAACTATGCTTTTATTGAATATTCAATAGGTAACAGCCTACTGAACAAACAAACATTCTTAGGAGAAAAAATAGAAGGGTACACCAGGAAATGACTGTCAGCAAATTAACTTTGAAGGAATTCTGTAACACAGATGTTAAAGATTTTTCACATTCAAATTGAGTCTCAAGACTAGTAATCCTATTGGCACAAAACCCCTGAGTACTTGGGCTGGCCAGTTAGCTCAGCTGGTTAGAGGGACACCTTGTAACACCAAGGGCAAGGGTTCAGATCCCCAGCCAGCCAGCTGCCAAAAAACAACAAAAACCCTGAGTACACAGAGCTCCTAGAGCTCCTGTGTGGGAAGAGGTAGATTCGCAGCCCAGGTGCCAGGGTAAAAGGCTTCCATACGGTTTCTTCCAAGTAACCTTGGGCTTTTAAAATTTAAATGCTAGTATAGAAAGAGTCCTTTAGGAGTCAAAACTCCTCGTTTCAGTGATAGAGATATTGAAGAAATGTTGATAAATGCCTTAATACGCCAGTTAAAGGAACTTAATCCTTAGGCTATATAGAGGCCTTGTGAAGAAAATAAAAAGGAAGAGTAATTACATCTCAAGTGGCTCAACTGCCATCATACAAGTACTTTATGCTCAAAGTACTCAAAAGAATGATTTACCAAGCAATGCTCTTTAAGAACAATAATAAGTATATGCTGAATCCAGCCAAGCCTCCCCATGCTACCTAAAAGGATTGCAAAAACATGAACAGAGACATAGCCGAGAACTACACTGTTCAAACATTCTCAGGAACCTCATTCACATCTTCAGGTAATTTGCGAAATATAAAGAAACTCCACAAACTATTAAAAATACTACAAGTATTTCCACTTTAACAATCTTTATCTTTCTAGAACCCAGCAAAAATGTAATTAAAATTTTATAAACAACTTACCTTTGATAAGTTGCTGTACTAATGCACTGTTGGGGCCCTTATCAGTACTGTGCACGATACAGTTAGCTATCCTTGTTAGGTGTCCCATGTAACCATGCCGTCTTCCTCCCTCAGCCCTGACAAAGGGTAAAGGATAATTATTCAGATTCCTGAAAATATTCAGACTCCTGATGGGACGGAATGGTGAAACACTTGGTAAATACTGTGGATTTTAAAGTAATCATTATAAAAACTGAGGCACCAAAGAAAATGACAAAAGACAGAAAAGGAAGGAGAAACAAAGGAATGGAGAGTGCCAGAATAGGGGAGTTTGAAATTGTCTACTCAAAGATTATACAGTAGCCTCATTCAACAGGACATAGTTTATTCAAATATCAAAAACAACAATTAATCATCAACACACATTATCTTAAAAAACATTCATTCAGGGGCCGGCCCGGTGGCACACTGCTACAGTGCGCCGCTTGGGAGCGTGGCGGTGCTCCCGCCGAGGGTTCGGATCCCACATACAGACCGGTTCCCGCTCACTGGCTGAGCGAGGTGCGGGCGCAACACCGAGGGTTGCGATCCCATTGCCGGTCCCAGTCCGGTACGGGCGCGACACTGAGGGTTGCGATCTGTTGCCGGATACGAAAAAAGACAAAACAAACAAACAAACAAACAAAAAAAAACATTCATTCATTGATGCCTAATATTACAGTGACTTTCCTTTGTATTTATTTTTGTGTGAGTGTGTTGCCGGATACGAAAAAAGACAAAACAAACAAACAAACAAACAAAAAAAACCATTCATTCATTGATGCCTAATATTACAGTGACTTTCCTTTGTATTTATTTTTGTGTGAGTGATGAAAACATTGTATCTTTTTTAAAAAACTGTTTTTCAGACTTCAATCAGATTGTAGGGAACTGAGATGATTATTCTGCCAGTTCACTTCCGTGAAAGATACCACACTTCAGTCACATCAATTAGTAGAGATAATTATCTACCAATGGCATTTCCCAAGTTAAGATACTGGCTGATTTGAGGCCTTGGCCAAGGTAAGAGGTAGTTAGTTTGTATCTGCCATTCACCACTTTGAACACAGGCAAATAAACTTGGTGCTCTTCCCTGTCACTTACTTAGGGTCCAATCTTCCCAACCATGATCAATCTTTACATTCAGACAAACTTCCTCTCAATGTGATTTCTCCTGCCTATTTACAAATGTCAAGACTTTAAATTCTATAAAACAGAGGAGTTTTGGTTACAGATAGCAGAGAATAAACTGAAGAGATTTTTGCTTAAAGGGAGAAAAGTCTTTCAGGGGCCACTAAAAAAAAAAAAAAAAAACCTATGCTTGAAGTCTTGCCTGGAAAATAAAATATCTGCTAGACAATGTTAGAGGACACCTAAGGTCAAAAGGCACGGGATTGATCTCAACTGAGTTGCTAACAGCCTCTTTTAGTTCCACAGCAAGATCCAGAGACACGAGTGTTCCTGCGGGCAACTTCTTAGTCACTCTCCTGTACTCCCTTGATCCCACAGCTGAAAACAAAGGCTCGCCTGCAAGGTGTTTGGCCCAGGGCTTCCAATGTCCTTTAGGTTGCTGGTGTGAGGGGACATTTGGAAAGCTCTTTCAGGACCCCTCCAGATGGGGAAAATGTTATTCACCAGGCCTGTAGAGGACAAGGCTCACAGAGAGGGCAGAGTACACACAGGACACCTCAGCACTGGCCAGATGAGGAGGTGGAGAGAGAAGACAGGAGGGCACAAAGTGGCTAAGACAGGGTCAGACACATAACCAGAAATGCCTATGAGGCCACACACTGAACCCCCAAAGGAGCTCCATTTGGAAGAATGTATCTGAGGTCTACCAATACTAGCCCCTCACAAACTAAATACCAATTTCCAGAGAGTCAAATCAAAACCCTATCGGCAGTTAAAAAAATAAAAAATCAAACCTCACAAAGTAAAGCTGGACATCTCCCATGAGTCATCTAGCTTCTGGGAACCACAGATGAATGTGAACAGAGATTCACAGCAAGAAAACTCCTGGGATTGACAATAAAGGGCATGAGACAACTTTTGGGGTGACGGTAACATTCTGTGACTTCATGCATTAGTCAGAATTCCCATTAACTGTACACCTAAAAAGGATGATTTTTACCACCTGACAATTATACCTCAATAAACTTAACAGAAAAACAAACTCAAGAAGCACACTTCAAGAGTGTTTCCTATGGGCTGGCCCGGTGGCGCACTGCTACAGTGCGCCGCTCCCGCCGAGGGTTTGGATCCCACATACAGACCGGCTGCTCACTGGCTGAGCGAGGTGCAGGTGCAACACCGAGGGTTACGAACCCGTTGCCGGTCCCGGTCCGGTACGGGCGCGACACTGAGGGTTGCGATCCATTGCCGGTCATGAAAAAAGACAAAAAGGAAAAAAAAAAAAAAAAGAGTGTTTCCTAAATACGCACTACACAGGATGCTTCAGAATCTATGAGGTGGCATAAAAGCTCCCAGGGAATTAGAGAAAAATGCCTGTTACAGATAACACTACGATCAAAAAGTCCTATGTCACAAAGCTACTTACATGGAGCAACTAAAACTTTCATATAACCTTGCCCGTCAAATAATGGAAATTTTCTAAAAAGAAAATACTAAGCAATTTTTTCTCCTCTGTTCTATTCTAAATAGGGGTGACCAGAACAAATACGCTGAGTTAAATCATCATCCAGGAGAGCCCAACTTTACAACCGTTTTCATTCAACTTCACAGTATTCTCAGAAAAAGAGCCATCTGAAAAGGACTGGGACGTTTCAAAGGCAGCACTGAGGTGAATACTCCCAGCTCCCTAGTTCCCCACAAGACAGGTAGAAAGACGGGGGGATCTAAAAATAAATTATTAGAAAAATACCTGTCACAAGTGGGAATATTTTCCTCAAATTATAAATCAAACTGAATAACTTTCAGAAAACAATTTACTTACTGCTTCTTCTCATTCATTTCCCAGGCTTCAAGTATTCGTTCTATTAACTGACAGTTTTGAAAAAGCTGAATAAAAAAGCATATTCTAGTTAATACTTATATAAATGTTAATGCATAAAACCTTAATGTGAAATTGAACTCAAGTTATACAGAACAGTGGTATGCATAATCCAGGAAGCTAAATATAGCTATGAATTACTGGCTAAGCCAAATGCAACATGATAAATAAATTTATTCTAGACCCTCAGAACACTACAGGGATTTAAAATTGGGACAACACCCTCAGCAGTGCATCTACTGGGAAACTCAGTATTACAGGTACTGCCACAAGTGAGCAGTTGACCTAAAGCAAAACTAGGTATTATTAGCTGTGAAAATTGGGCTCAGAAATACAGACTGACTGGGCCAGCCCATGGCTCACTTGGGAGAGTGTGGTGCTGACAACACCCAGTCGAGGGTTAATATCCCCTTGCCGGTCATCTCTTTAAAAAAAAAAAAAAAAAGAGGGCCGGCCCAGTGGTGCACTGCTACAGTGTGCCACTTGGGAGTGCGGTGGCACTCCCGCCGAGGGTTCGGATCCCACATACAGACCAGTTCCCGCTCACTGGAGAAAATTATGCCTTGGCAAAAATTTAACTTAGAATCCAAAGCAGTCCTTGCACGTCTTAAATATGAGCAATACTTACTTCCAGATGCACTAACATTACTGCATTAACATTAAACAGGTGTGTCTCACCCAAATCCTGCAAGTCAACGACAACTGCTGTGGGCTGTAATACAAGCGTGCACAATGCCAATTTTACTCAGATACCATTCATCTTCCCCATGTACTTGGCTATTTCAAGTTAGCCTTTCCTATCTTCCAGGTTTGGAAGTAAACCAAGTGTAAACTAGAAAATTTCAGAGAACCACAGGACTGCAGAGCAAGAAGAAATCTGAAGACTGACAGTAAATCACTTCATATTTGACAGAAAAGTAAAGAGATACCAAGATGAGGCTTCGTCAACATCACACAAAACTTACTTCTCCCAACTTTCAGTCATGTATTCAGCACCAGAAATTAAACTCTGGTATGCCAAATAATTATTCAAATGTTTTCTATAGTATTTAAATTTCTATGGTTCTTTTAATCCCCAAAAGATTTACCTATCTTCACACCTATTAATCTCACCAAATAAGCAGGCCACTTACATTTTTTCTTAAAAGACAGTTCATTTAATGGTTATTTGTCCAGGACTTAATTTATAGAATCACTGGCTGAAAGTGTGATGTACACGTGACAGTTAAATATTTAGACTCTGAAATCTAACCTCAAGTTTTTAAACCTCAACTCATTTCACACTGAAGTGGAAAACTGCTGTAACCAAGAGAGAGTAGAAGAAAAACTAGACTGAATAAGCTTACATGTTTCAATAACAAATTGTCACCAGTGGAGTCTTGATCAGTAATTGTGCCATTTTCTGTGTTTTCAAAAGGACTTGCAAGAATCAATGCAATACAAATTTCCACTTGAGTATGCAAAAAGTTATTCCATGTGTATTTGAAGAACATGTCCTACACAAAAGAAAAACAATGTTTTATTCAGTTACCTCAATGTTTAAGCCACCATTTTAATACATTTACAGAATAGTGATTTAATAGTTCAAACAAAAAAATGATGTGTTCTCAGTCACACATACGACTAATAATAAAAGGGACTAATTTTAATAGGACTAATTAAAAGGAACACAAGTTTATTTTAAAGGGAGTTTGAAACACGACTTCATAGCCTAAATATCATTAACATGATTTGCTCATTCAACATGCCAGAAATTGCATGGAATCTAGTAGAAACTATCAATAAACATATGAAGAAAAGACAAAGAGAGCATCTTTTCATTTTCAAAGCAACTAATGCAAAAATTTAGCTCAGTAAATTTTCAATAATTTTCAAAGAAATTTGTAAGAATTTCATTTTGATTCAACAAATATTTACTGATGGCTTTCGTGCAGGGCAGTGTGCAAGGTACAATATGGGACATAGAGGTAGACAAAAACATGATCCCCAATCTAAAGGTGCTCACAACTTAACAAAGAATAACCACTCCAGCATTCCATTCTGAAAATTCCTAATATTGTCAGCAAAAACAAAGGAAGTATATGAGAGGGGGGGACACATGAATGAATCTCCTGAAAGCACAAGGTTTTTCCAAATTACTTGAAAAGGTAATAGCATCACAAAAAGGAAAAGCAACTTTTAAAAGCACAAAATGCACAAAGTATATATTCAGGACATGATTGAGTCTGGTTATCTAATCTCAAAATGAAAAAGTAATAATTAATGACCCATCTAGTAGTCTTATCAAATTTATCACCACTCAAAAGTAGCTCTGTAGAGTTACAATAATACAATAGAATAAATTGACAATAGTTGTATACTTTTATTAAAGACTAGGGTCTGGTGACTTCAGGGAGAACCCCAGAAGCAAGGGTAGAAAGTTTTATTCCTGGAGTTTTATATACCAGTCAGAGGAGTAGGGCAAAAATTATGTCCTCAGAGGGCAATGACTATAAAACTATAATCCTTTAAATCTTCATCTTTTTCCAGTTTGCTCCTCCTTCCTATGCTCTATACCGACATATCATTTAACCTAGAGCTGAAATATAACTAAAAATAACACAATGACACTAGGAAACACAACAGCACGGTTGATAAAGTATGTATGGGTTTGAAATTGGGTGAATTCAAATCTTGGCTTTACCACTCACTAGCCATGGAATATATATCCCCTTCTCTGGGCATGACCTGAAAAAGAGATGCTCTCTCTCACATGGGGTTTTTATATCCAGGATCACATGAGAAGTGTATTTAAGGTGCACATTACAATGCTCGTCATGTAGTAAGCAAACACCTTCTTTGAAACACCTCCAAATCTCCCCCAAATGTATAATATGACCAGATGTCTTGTGAAACCTGCTAAGTTTTAACCCTCGTGCCTTCTGTGCTGTGGGTGTAGAACAGACAGAGTAGGCATAGGCTCCAGAGCTGGGCTGCTTGATTCTAAGCATAAACCATGCAACTGGGGAACTCAGAGACTGGGGAAACCCAGATAATTCCTGAGCTTTTCCTTTTCCTTTCCATTGACAAGCAGACTAATAGCTGTCTCAAAAAAGAATCCATACTCAAAAGACCATACAGCCTCAGATGCATTACATAGAAACATCCTCGTGGAAGAAAGATAAGGCTTGTCCCTTTGCTAATTCTGAACATAAAACAATGCTATACCCAGCAGTCCATGTGAGACTGAGCTTCTCGAGCCTATGTCTTAATCATCTCATCTCTAAAATCCTATATTACACTTCTTTACACACAGCAACAGCAAATGACTACTGAACAAAAATAAGCATTCAAAATTTATGATAAACTCCGGCTGGCCTGGTGGCGCACTCGGTGGAGTGCGGTGCTTGGGAGCGTGGCGGCGCTCCTGCGGAGGGTTCGGATCCCATATAGAGACCGGTCCGCTCACTGGTTGAGCGCGGTGCGGGTGCGACACTGAGGGTTGCGAGCCCCTTGCCGGTCACGGTACGGACGCGACACTGAGGGTTGCGATCCCGTTACCGGTCACAAAAAAAAGACAAAAAGGAAAAAAAAAATTTATGATAAACTCAAGGCAAAAACCATATAAAATACTGTTATGCTCACGCCAAGAAAAGTTACTGACACATTTGTAAATTTTTAAAACTGTAGCTTGAGTTATATATGAAATGTCAAGGGCAAATTAAAGTGTCTGTGAGGGGGAAATCTTACCAGTATGACTCCAATGCTATTCAGCTCCATAAGGTCCCCATTTATACTGCTGGTATTGGTTTGAAGCAGGCTGGATATCAACCTAATTACATTCAACCGGGTATTCCCCACAGGAGGATCGAGTACACCCCATGTAGTCTTCATCACACTTTTCTGAGGAAGGAAAAGCTTTCCAAGTGAATCCAGGTAAATAAACAAACAAGCAAAAGGTGTACATGCTAAGATATATAACACTATGCTAACTAACCCTGCGAACAAATTGGCCTGAATTCTATACCTGAAAGAAAATCTAAAGCAGCCACTGATATCTTTAAGATATGATGAAATAACCAAGAGGGAAAAAAAAAAAAATCAAGTAATTTCCGAGGACTACAAATTTTATAAGAAACCAAGTAATCCCCTGTGCCAACATTCCAAACTCTCACGAGAAGAAAGCAGAAAACTACAGAAATCCATGAGGGAAAAAAAGTAAAATATTTCAAAGTCTGACCAGGAATCTAAGAAACTAAAAGAGGTTACAAGTGATTTTGGAACACAGTCCTTAGTCTTTGCCAAATCTGCAAGAAAAATATAAACTCAGAAGTTGCCTCTGGAGCACAACCCAGAAACATGATCAACCTAAACCTGTTCTTGTTCATCAATAGGGGTTTCTATAGTTTGAAATAACAAAAGACAGAAGCAGCATGTTTCAAAATAGAAGTCTGACAGAAGTCCTAGGTGTCCCCTGCTCCTCTCAAGGTCTAATGGAATATTCAGGCTCACAGTTTTACTCTATATAAGACAGCTCTAAATGACAGACTTGAAAGAGCTACATGGATGTACTTACACACCACATAATATAGTAAAATTAGGTACAAACTGAACTCACTCATTCCTAGGAGTAAAGGAGAAGTCCAAACGAGACACTGCCTTACTTCTGAATCAGGGCCAAGCAGAATCAGATGCTGCTTTGTTTGTCCCCTAGAAAGAAGAGGGGTAGGCCACCTAAGACATAAGTCAGGAACCTTCGTCATACACCTTCTCTCTCAGAGCCTTCTCCAGCTTCCACTGGTGATGTTCTCTCCTCTTTTCTTAAATCCTTTCTTTTTCTTTCCTTACTCTCCTACTCTTCTTCCTAGGACTGGCATGAAAGAGGCCACTGACTGTAATTGTTAAACACCAATAGAGGTACTTTCTCTGAAGGTAAATGCCACCATGATCGGCACCCAACACAGGCTGAATGCAGGTAAGACAACATGGCTGGTAGGGGGCCCAGCAGGACGATACAAACTCCGAGTGCAGATAAGGAACCCTTCCTGCTCACTGATAACTAATCAGGCATTTGAAAAGATAACCTGGGAACTGAAGTAGACTCCCCGGGTTATGGATGAGGGTTACTCTGTGCTCCCACCTAAACGGTTAAATAAACAGAAAATTCTGAATACTTCTAATTCAGAAGCAAGAAACTAGTATGCTAAATTCCCAATAACTGACACAGTAGACAGCCATAGTAATACAAGTACTACACAGGACAGGGATCCAACAATATAGGGCAGAAGGAAAAAGAAAAGTGTAAAAACTAGTGCTGCGAACAGAACTCTCACAGAACAGAATTTTCCACCCTAGATTACAAAAGGAAGTGCCTCTTACCCTAATCTAAGTCTCTGTACCAATCCAAGGGGCATGGGTGTAATGGAAGAATACCACTTACGAACTGCTGACAACCCTCTTCTGTGGGTCTCTGCTGAGTAAACAGTCATTTTTAGATTAGCACATGGATGCTATCTACTGAAAAACTAACACCCCAAGTCATCTTTCCATGTTGTACACTAAAACTTCAAAGTACTATTTATTAAATAAGGTCATCTGTCCATCAGACTTTTATATTGCTCCAAAGCTTAATAAGAAAACACAGTTTCAAAGATCAGCTCCCGAAAGGTTAACTTTACTTCAAACTTCTGAAAAGAACATGCTACGAGAAGAAAACTGCTTATTTTACTGGCATATTAAGTACCCAAGAATTTATAGAAGGAAAGAACGAAAAGCTGAGTTTCATATGCAGATAAATATTTTGTTTAATTCTACCCCATTCACCAATTTAGACATCATACATAGATAAAAGTCACTTAAAAACCAGCTCAATGGGCCGGCCCGGTGGTGCACTGGATAGTGCGCCGCTTGGGAAGTGTGGTGGCGCTCCCGCCCGAGGGTTGCGATCCCGTTGCCGGTCCCCAGTCCGGTATGGGGGCAACACTGAGGGTTGCGATCCGTTGCCGGACACGGAAAAAGACAAAAAAAAAAAGACAAAAAAAAAAAAAAAACAAGATAGTTCCCTTACCTTAGGTGGCTCAAGCAGGAGTTCATGAAAAGATCCAAGTCTTCCTCTGATGGCTTCTAGAACACTCTTGTTGACCGAACAAGCTGAATGACTCATGCCTGGTGGGCAGATCTCTATATGGCCTTCAAAACTTGAAACAAAGCAAGATAATTATAGTTATTATAATTTCAGAACAAATCATTCAAGGTGTTCCATATCAAACATATAGGTATATACTAAATGATTATATAACTATATAATGCTTATATCAACATTTCTGGCTGTAAGGAGAAGGGATAGGAAGAGAGCATAATAAACCAGAAGAGGGTGTAGTAAAACCTTGATGAGGATCAGCCAATATGACCTGAAATTTAAAGGGTTATAGTGCCGATGAGAAATTGTATGTGATTTCTTCCCATGCTGCTAAACCTCCTAACTTCTTATAACTATTGTACTAATAGCAGGTCTCTAAATGAACAGAGAATTTGGAAAACAAAAGGACATCTAATCTCTGAATTACAGGACACATCATATTGCCTTCCAGTTTAGGATGCTAATAATAAACAGGCCTATACTTGTTCCATACAGTTTTTCTTGGGTAATCAACAGTTTCCTATATAAAAGGTTTAGGGCTGGCCCATGGCTCACTTGGGAGAGTGCGGTGCTGATAACACCAAGGCCACGGGTTCGGATCCTATATAGGGATGGTCGGTTTGCTCACTGGCTGAGCGTGGTGCTGACAACACCAAGTCAAGGGTTAAGATCCCCTTACTGGTCACCTTTTAAAATACATACATACATACAAGGTTTAAATTATTCTTCTACATAAAGCTCAATCTACTCATTACAACCCACTCCTTACAAGAATACAGGTGGAATGAGACTCCCAAATCCCAACTACTGTTAGTGACTGAAAGCGCACAGTGGTTCTCAAAGTGGGGGCAGGAAAGAGCCCAGGAGGAGAAAAAGGACATCAGGAGGAAGGCCTAAAAATGTGGGTATGGGGTTCAAATTAAAAGATAAATCTGAGGACCGGCTGGCCCGTGGCTCACTTGGGAGAGTGTGGTGCTGATAACACCAAGGCCACGGGTTCAGATCCTATATAGGGATGGCCGTTTTGCTCACTGGCTG